GCCCCGTGCGCCAAGCTGGGAAGCGCTCGGCGGAGGCGGTGTCAGCGGGGCCCTGGGGACACCGCGCAGGACCTTCAGGGAAAGGGTCAACCTCTGGGGCGCGTTGAACCGTGTCAGGTTTCTGCGGAGGGATCAAAATCCGTAAACTCGGTGCGCTTTTGCCTGCAGTTCTGTGTTTCCACTCGTGTGCCGGTCACCGGAGGCCGGGGGACACTGGGGGTGCCCGTGGCCAGAGCTCGCTTACCCCATGTCCCCTCTCCGACAGGCAAGTGGGGATGGACGCGTATTAACCCTGCGGGAGCCAAGCCCACCCCGAGGTCTGGCTTTTCTGTGGCTGTGACCCCGAATCATCAGACGCTGCTGTTTGGGGGCGTGTGTGACGAGGAAGAGGAGGAGAGCCTGGAGGGGGACTTCCTCAATGACCTGCACTTCTATGACGCCACCAGGAACCGCTGGTTTGCGGGGCAGCTGAAGGTAGAGCCGTGCTCCCGAGCATGTGCCGGGGCGGTCGTACGTCAGACACGCAGCCCTGTTGTGCTCCCCACCGCCCCACCTCCCCGTCCGTCTGTGGGGCTCCCCGGGAGCTCTCAGTGTCTTTGCCGTCATTGTGGGCAGGGGCAGGCCGTCCGGCACTGGTGTCCCCCTGGGACTTCAGGTCTAGAGGAGTTGTTGGCGCCAGAGGCCTTGAGGCCTCAGGAGGTGGCCCACTCGGCCAGAGACCCCTCCCTGGTTGGAGGGCTTTGGAGCCTCTGCTGGGGATCAGGCAGACGTGCGGCTGGGGTCTGGACTCGTGGCCCCCCTGCCCTTTGCCCTGAGGGGTCCCACCAGGTAGAGACTCTGTGCCCGCAGCCTGAACGGGCAGATTAGGGCAGGGGGCTTCCGCCACGTGGCCCAGTCGCCCTCGCACCCCACGTCGCTCGAGGACGCTGCCCGCTGACCACCGGCCGCCCCTGAAGTGCACGGCCTTGCTTTTTCCGACAGGGACCTAAGTCAGAGAAGAGGAAACGGAGGAGGGGCAGAAAAGCAGAGCCTGAAGGTGCCGACAAGCAGGAGCGCGGGGGGGCCGGTGCCCAGGAGCCCCTGGAGGTGGTCAGAGAGGTGGTCGCAGAGGACGGGACCGTGGTCACCATTAAACAGGTTCTTGCCGCCCCAGTCCCGGCGGGACAGCCACAGTCCGAGGAGGAGGACAGCCCCGACGAAGCCGGTGGCCCCGTGGTGGAGCCCAGTCCCCGCTCCAACGCCATGCTGGCCGTGAAGCACGGGCGGCTCTACCTGTACGGGGGCATGTTTGAGGCAGGTGACCGCCAGGTCACCCTTAGTGACCTGTACTGCCTGGATCTCCACAAGATGCAGGAGTGGACGGCCTTGGTGGAGGCCGACCCAGGTGAGCTGGGGTGGAGAGAAGATGCTCTGCAGGTTGGGGCGGGAGCCCCATGAAAGCGGCTCTGTCCCATCTGTCCACGAGGGCCCACTCAGATCTGCCCTGTGCCACGGAGCCTGCAGTGAGCCAGACCCACGTGCCCTCACCCGTGGCCACTCCCGGAGGGTGGGCCCTGGTCACAGCGAGGCGCCCCCTCCTGCGTACGTCCGCCCCTGCTCTGGGAGCTGAGGGGGTGGCTGCTTGCTTTGCGCGGGGGCGGGGGGCGGGGCTCAGGCCCGTCCCGGTGCTTCTCGGGGGTGCGTCGTAGCAAAACCGATCTCACAGAGCCTCCTCGTCCACTGTCCGCAGCCTCTGTGAACACGCGAGGGCAGACCAGGCGTCTGGGGGACACCTTCCGGGGGAACCTCCAGGCCGCCTCTGCTCTGACCCACACTGCTCAGTCCCTCGCGTCCACGTTGTACACCGGTGGCTGCTGGATGCCAGCCACCACTCCTTTCTTGGCCACTGGACACTGAACAGAGCTTGAGTCCACGCTTTCAGAGAAAGGCGCTGCGTGGCCCTGCGAGGTTCCTTAGTTTTCCAGAGAGGCTAGGTTGGAGCAGGGGCTGCAGGGTGAGACCGGGGGGTGGGTCTCGTACCTTTGCCTCTGCTCTCCGTCCCCTCCTCTCCCCTCTCCGTCGTCCTCCCTCACCTCTGCTCTCAGCCTCCCCTCGCCTCTGCTCTCCTTCGTACCCCCCTCGCCTCTGCTC